ACTTTGGTTGGTGTGAAATGCACTATGCGGAAAAAGATTATTTACTTGCTAAAAATTACCTCTGATCTTGGCTAATCACAACTAAAGATTTATTTTGAAAGTCGGAAGTTAGTTTTGACTCCTTTTTTGACAAATTCCTGTACTTCCTGTGAAAAGCCAATACTTTTCTAAAACACCCAAACTGTCAACTAGGGATATGACTGGGGAAAGCAGTTGTAAGTGTGTAAGTGTAACTAATATTGTCATGGTAGTGGAGCAATATCAAAAGGGCAGACATCCATCAAAAAACAAGACAAATAAGCTGGTTCACAAAAATATTGATAAACTACAACTACATAGACCATGCATGGTTCTTCTGTGCTGCGTCATACAGAGCGACGTTGGTCCAATCATGGTTGCTTCTTAACTTAAAAATGACAAATATAACATGCCAGTCTGTGTCAGCTGGTCTCTGTTGCCATGCACTACATGCACATAAAAGTGAAGAATGCTTTTGACCCACTAATTGTTGTTAAACATTTTGTAAAAGAGGCAAACCTACAGAGATGGGCAGAGTGCATGAGACAAAGGGGAGATAGTGTGTTGGTGTGTGCAGTGTAGCAGTGACTGGAGCATGCTCTCAGTGATAGATAGTGTCAGGTTTGGCTGCTCAGTGGCAGGTCTCACGGTGTCAGTGCGGTGGCTGTGGAGAGCAGGGGCCCAGGCCTGATCCCTGTCAACATGCAGGTAACACACATGACAAGAGGCGGCGCTGTGCACTGCGCTGTTCCCCCTGTAAACAAGTGTGATGGAGTCACATCAACGCACACACTGAGGGGGGACAAAGAAAAGAACTAATATCAGGAAAAATAACGGCAGACAGGGTTTGTGTGCTTTTAGAATTATTAATGAACTTTTCTCCATGGACAAGAGTGTGAGTTAATTGAATGAATCAACCTTTATGAAAATCAAAAATGTACCATTATATTTGTCAGTCCAACCACTTTTCGGTTTAGCCAATCAGATTCTTTTTTGACAGTGTGCATACTAAAACTGTTTCAATAATTACACTAATGTCTTCTTGAAATTACATTATATACTGTACTTATTTGTTTCTTTATAAAATGTCCTCAAACCTTCTCATGTCCCATCCTTTTTTTCATTCAAGGCAAAAACATGTAACATCACAGGATCACAGTGGTAGAAATCAATTATACTTGCAAGAATATTTTCTCCCTCCAGGCTATACAGTGAGAAAGGGCCCTCATTGTTCTATTGTTCACATTGTGTCATTCTTTGCCTTGGAACAGCGATTGTTTGCTGCACAGTTAGAAGCACAATGGTGTTCACATAAAAATGAGCCACTTAGCTCTCACACTAAATTAGCGCTGCAGAGGAGAGTCAGCCTTTCCAAATTCGCTTATTCACATTTTCCTACTCCTTATACCAGCTCCTATAAAACGCACCACTTCTGCTGAGGTGGACAGAAGTGGTGACAGTGCCAGCGCACACTGTGTCTGTGGTTTGAGCTTTTCGGGACAGGAATAATATTAATGTTATCATTTCATTTAATGTAATTTGTCATTATCTAAATCTATGGATTGTTGTAGGATAAAAAAATTAGGTGATGGCAGGAGGTGTCACAGCACAGCTGTTTCAGTGCTTTTGCACAAAAAGGAGCGTGAGCCTTTTTGGACCTAAAGATTCATCATAAGTGTGCAGCGAGAAACAGGAAACAGACTATGACCCGGGACTAGGGAACTGGACTGTCCCAAGATCACCTATGATGTGTTCGTGTCTCTCTTCAACATGTCTAAGATTTAGTTTACTCATAAACAAACTGCTGTAGGAATTCCATCCAGCCATTGCATTCATTGATCATTGTATTCATTAATCATTGTATTCATCAATCATTGTATTCATTAAATCATTGTATTCATTAAATCATACCCATTTCTGGGTCGTGGGGGGTGGCAGTCAGAGCTGCACCCACTGATCCTCCTGCAGGTGGTGAGTCCACAGGAGGATGACTGCTCTATTCTGAAGTGCCTTTCAGCTGTAGACCAGTGCTGTTCAAATAGTTTTATTACAATGCAACATTTAAAACGTATCCTTTTCTCTTGTCTCCTGCATGTACCACTGGTACATGTCCTCGTATCAGCTAAGTGAGACATAAATCATCTGTAAGTATCATCTGCAAAGGCATGTAAAGATTTAACAGAAGAGGTCCAAGGATCAACCCCTGTGGAACTCTACAGGCCTGTGATCTGAGACAATATCAACATCAGCGATCACTCATTACTCTTTTAGTGTCTAAAAGAACCTGCTGTAAAAATTGGATTCCAACAAACTGGAGACACTTTCAACCTAAAAGAGTTTTAGACGTCTGAATGCATACTTGCCAGAGATTTGAAACATTAAAACTAACAAAAAAGATACCTCATGCAGCTCACAAGAGACAATCTAGAAGTAGGTAAATGAACATGCACAGCAAATTGTACCAATCCCCCATTTTCATATAAATACAATATAAATAAGTGTATTTTTCATATAAAATGATGTAGCATGTTGCACCAGTGCAGCTTTAAACCTGAAAAGTGGCCTTAGGGTCCTGACTACAGAGTGACTGGAAAGTATTGTGTCATCTGTAAAGAAGAAAGAAAAAACGGCATTGAAGTGGGTGATTTTTCCAAGCACTGTTAAAAAATAGTTTTGCATGGGTGCCTTTGCTCTCCCGTTAGTGCTGCTACCGGGACCAAGAATGAAGCACTCTCCTGGGCCGGACAAAATCAATTCCTCACTTGGGCAAATTTCTTTCGTCTTAGCTTTTACCCCTGTCAGGCCATTTGTTCTCAATTGTGGCATAGACCTATGTTTTGGGGAAGGTGGTTACGCCATGCAGTGTAAAGTACCCTGCTGACAAAGATTCAAAATGCCATAGGACTTTCATTCATTTAAGAAGATGTCACTATTCCAAGGCTTTTTACAGAGAAGTGAGATGTACTATTCCTCAACCATATCTATGTTAGCAGTTCCCAAACATATTTATCCGTGTTTATTTGAATGATGCTTTGGAGGAATTACCCATGCTGGAGCATACACACCATTTACAACACATCATGCCTGTTCCTGTGGGAAATCACTCAGCCACTCAATAGCCGCTCATCACTGTAAATCATGTGTAATCCTAGCTCACTTCTAGCACTCATCCCTAAGCACAACACAGCGCTGTTAATTGATGTTGTGTAGTTGAGATCTGCAGTTTTTTGTGGATACATAAACTTGAGCAAATTACATGGTTACATGGTCCGTATGTGGTTGTTTACGGTATATACTTTTACTTCTCCGACCATATACAGTACAGACCAAAAGTTTGGACACACCTTCTCATTCAAAGAGTTTTTTATTTTTCTGACTATGCAAATTGTAGATTCACACTGAAGGCCTCACAACTATGACTTTTGTACTACAAAAAAAAGTTTTAAACAATTGAAAATACTGCATGTCTTATATTCTGGGTTCTTCAAAGTAGCACCTTTTGCTCTGATTACTGCTTCGCACACTCTTGGCATTCTCTTGATGAGCTTCAAGAGGTAATGACCTGAAATGGTCTTCAACAGTCTTGAAGAAGTTCCCAGACATACTTAGCACTTGTTGGCCCTTTCGCCTTCACTCTGCGGTCCAGCTCACCCCAAAACCATCTGGATTGGGTTCAGGTCCGGTGACTGTGGAGGCCAGGTCATCTGGCCTAGCACCCCACCACTCTCCTTATTGGTCAAATAGTCCTTACACAGCCTGGTGTGAATCTACAGTCAATAGTCATGAAAAGAAAGGACACTCGTTGAATGAGAAAGTGTGTCCAAACTTTTGGTCTGTACTGTACATTATTTAAATATACAGGAGACTGCCTCTGCAAAACAGATCATTTGACCCGGCATAAATATGAAAATCATCGCATGTATTATGATTCACAATCTTCTTTCTGATAACCAAAATTCCTCAGTGAGCCATGTTGTTGGCCTGTGTTGGGTTCACACGGCAGCAGCTCCTCCTCCTCCTCTCTCGACTCTGAGCTGAAGCGATTTCCATGAGAATCAAAGTGGTGATTAATCACAGTGTTTTGCACTCCCAGATGTCATTCAGAGCCTTTTAAAGACATGAGCGCTCACTGATGTTTATGGGACAGGAGAGATATGAGCTTGGCAGCCACAGTCCAGAGACCCTTGTGTGCTCTCCCAGTGGGACCCTCTTACAGTCAGCCTCTGCGCCTACTGTCCTGACCGTCACATAGCTCCTCCCACAGAAAGGGGGTCACAGCCTGAGCGACAGCTGTATTCTATCCAAACACTTTGTTTAAAGAGAAATCAGAACACTATTCAAATCAAAGCTCAAAAAGTGATATTTCCAGTGTACGCACTTAATACAAAGGTTGTGGTTTAGGTATAATAAAGCATTTAATAGTAAACTTTAAGATACACATACTTATCAGATGTGTTCACAATTGGTACAAAGAACTGGTCCAGTGACAGTGACGTTTGCCTAAAGTGAGCAGAATGCTGTTCAATTGGGAAAGACTAAGACAAGATAAATTAGAATTATGTTTATTGTATAAGGTTTGTATGAAGTATATTGATTACTGCTCACCCTCAATTTACACAAAGCAACACACGTAATGTGATGTAGGCACAATAGGAGACGTGAGTATGTTTGAACCTGTGGAGCCCATTCTACAACAGACCACTCTCTTTTTACTGTCTTCCCAGCGGTGATAAGCCAGGATATGCAATGTTTAAACATGATTTTGATAAAATAACAGTGTTGTCAAGGAAACATACTCAAGCCATATCTGCTGCTTATGTCACATTACTTTACAACAAACTCTCACTGCGAGTACAGCCATGACAGGTAAAATATGCCTATACATAATGATATCACACAGTACCCTCACCCATTCTCAGGACACAGTGAACAGAGAGGACAGGACCAGTGTTTGTCTGTTGATCCGACAGCCCTGAGCTCCCATGAGGCAGACCAGAGAGTTACAGACAGCAGGACAAGACCCCTCTCCCCCTCCTCTTTACCCACAATCCTGCTCTCCTCGCACTCCTCGCACACCTTGGAACCCTTACGCAGCCAGACAGGAACCCTCTACAGAGCTGCGTGAGGACAGCTGATGGACGGGACTGTCTCAGGTGTGAGCCCTGGACCCCTTCACACGCCAACGTGGACAGACAGTGACAGAAAGAAACAACAAGAGGGGAAAAGGAGGTCCAACTATGGGCTTTTGTGATGTTAGTCTGTCACCTGAAAAGAATATTTACTTATTTTTTTATTGTTTTACTTCGGTTTTTACTTTATTTACAGTTATTCTTTATACAGACTTTATATGTATCTACTATTCAGTTCAAGGTATTGACGACGACAAATCCATTGCTTTATCTGGAACATAACAAAGCTGTATCTCAGAAGAGAAAAAAATGCTTTTGTAATCTATTGCCTCTTGGCTACTTGGATTGGGGCTTAATATCAGAATTACTAAGAGACTTTGTGGAGCTGCAGCCAAGTTAGGACACAGGCCTGGCCCCAAAACATCAACACCAACATGTAATTAAATCATTGTGCCATTTTAAATTTTAGTTAACATCCTTTTTGAACATGTAGTGTTTTCATGCAGCAAAAACACTGGTTTTCTTCAGCACAAAATGGTGTTCTTCACACTATTTTATTACATGTACATAGAGAGATTAAAATCAATATTTTACAGCACCCATAAATTGTTCTACCACTTCTACTTAAACGTATAAATCCTATACCAGATTGTGTCACCCTGGCTAATTTGTGGTATGACGATCTTTTGCTATGAATGATTAATAAACAAAGCTATTAACAATGCAGCAGACATCCAGCAAAAGGTTCATTTTGGGAAATACAATCTCCTTTTTGTTAATAATGTTCATTAATCACACATGGATGTCACTTAACGCAAGGTTAATGAAACACTGCTAATGCGTGGCTAATCTATCCCCAGCCTGGACGCTGCTATGTGTGATGCCTGAGCCTCTTTCCTCCTGACTCGAGCGGGGGTCCGGTGTGTGTGATTGATGGATGCGGGACAGGGGATGTCCATTATTTTTAAGTGGAACACAGAGGCAGAATGTGGGGTCAGCTCTGGGCCGAACTCAAAAAGCTTTACCTGTCCAAACGGCTAATGAACCGCTGACAAGATATATGGGAACACTTTGGGGGAGAATTTAAGTATGACATAATAACTTGATAATGGATTTATTGTGCAGCTTTGAACTGTTCATTCACAATGAAACATAACTTTTACTGACATTTTCTACATTTCATCTTTCTGTCAATCATTGGGGAGTCAAAGGGTGACGCTCACAAATTCAATAACAAAAGCTGATTGTATATTAATGGTTGGATTAGTATTCTATTTCTAATGCACAAAACAGATACACGTTTCTAGCCATTGACTGCAGTTAGAATGTCCATGGTCATCACATGCTCGCTTGTTTGTTTTTCAAACCTGTACAGGACATTTGCACTTATTTCAATACAACAAACAGGTACATGCTTTGAAAAGTTGTTGATTGATTGATTCATTATTTGATTCCAACCCCCATCACTGATGCCACACACAATACACTGCTATAATAACACCATACAGAAGAATTCAAAAACACATACCTGTACCGTACATACAGTAATACAGTACATGACACTACCACATGTAGCTGCTTCATGGGGGATTGCAATTCCACAACACAGCAAAGGAAGTGAACTAGAGGACCACTGCAACATTGTGTGCAGCTTTCAAATCTACACAATTTAAGAACAATTAACCCCAAGTGAACCACAATTAGTCCCAAGTGAAGCAGAGCTCATTTCAATTGGACTAAGTGTGAACACACATTATGCAGGGACACATTATGGAAGTCAAATATGTACAGTGATGCCCTTTGCTGTGCACATCGATTAAATGTGAAAACAGGTCTAAACACTGAAGCCTCACCTTCAGTGTTGCACTACAGGATTTATAATTTGATATGTGCAAAAACAACAAAGCCACAATCGATATACTATAAATAATATATACACAGAGCACAAACAATATAGAAACAATAGGACTGAACAGAGCTGAATACACAGCTGTAATCTGGCGAAATTACCTTGAAAGAATTGGCAACTGTAGAACTGTACATGTGTATTTGTAGCCGCTGCTGCTGCCGCTTTAGAAAAGGGCCCTCTTAGCTTAAAACAAATATTTCTGTACATAGCTGGAAGGCATGGTTTTGTCTCAGCGGTTGGCACTGTCTCTGATTCCCCAGCTGTCATTAAACAGATATATGATATTTTCATGTGTGTGTTTTGAGTCTGTTAGAGCGGTGTAAGAACAACATTAGCACACATGTTTATTGTGCTGTGAGCGCGTGGTGCCAGCGAGACGAGCTGTTTAGAAAAGCAGATCTCTGTTTGATTGTTTGATGACAATATGAGCCTTGCATCTCTCTCCTCTTCCTTTTGTCTGAGTCTTTGAAGAATACTGACACTTAATGTTTGATGCTGGCGTGTGTTCGACTGATGTACAAATACAATCACACCAGTGAGACATGTGCTGTTTTTTTATTCTTCTATTTTGACAACACATTTGTTGTTTGTTGATTTGATTTAAGTTTACCTTTTTGCCCTGATTTCAAACCGGGTGTCAGAGCTCTAGCAGGAACGTTAGCTGATACTAAGAATTAAAACACAAAGAAGAAACAATTACCCCACCTTTACTGAGTTTTGAGTGCAGTAAGTATGACTGCTTTTGAATCGCACTAATAGTATTGATCTTTTACCATAAACAAAAATAATAGTAATAATCATTTTAATTATTCTTAACATGGGGAGGCAGCATGTTAGATTTATACAGGTACAGCTAAAATCTGTCTATCTGTGCATAAAACTGAATTTTGTATTTTCTCTTTTTAATGTACCGTGATTATTTATGATTATAATACCTTGTGTGATTGTTTCCATCTTTTTTTGTTAATCATTTTGAGTTGCCGTGTGTATGTACAGTATATGTGCTATACAGATATACTTGCCTTGCCTTAATTAATAGGAACAGTTATAAGTTAAGATACCACATTGAAATTTCCCCACTGACGGATAAATAAAGTCTAATTCTTATCTTATCTTAATAATTTATTAAACGTACTTATCTGCTCTTTCATGCCCAAATGAAGGTTGCACAGCAGTAAGTGCATGTTTTCCATTGCGAGTTAATGCTAATTCACACATTAGGCGTAATTGCAAATATTACATTACAAACTCATATTATACCATTATATGCCTATGGATTTTTTCTGTGCTGTTTCCAGTGCACAGCGGCGGCCTGGTGGTGGCTGAGAGGAGGCGGTGAGGAGGCAGGTCAATATGAGCCCTAATAAAGCCCGAGTTCATTTCCCCACCGCTCTCCCCCCTGGCCTGGGCCTGCTCTATATACAAGTCAAATCGCTTTTTTGCCTCCCAAAGCCCTGTGATTTATGATCCCGCTCCATCGAGAAGACCAGCTAGTTTTCATTTTTGTTAAATCACACAGCCCCTTTAAATGAAACTATTGATTTCAAGTCAACTTACTGAGGATTTAATTTGTATTTGGAAAATTAAAGCAGGTTACGCTTTATAATTTCACACTAAGGGCTGAACAGTACACCCAGTTAGGCACCATGTTTCACGCTCGGCTCTGTCCCAAGGATTCGCACAAAAAACCCCATTCTCCACTGTTTCCCTGCTCCATCTGGATCAGTGACCACTTTAGGCAGCCATTAATGAATTTTGGACAGGGGAAAGAGGGATTTATAGCCCTGGGACTGCAGCCGGGACCGTCCCATACTTAGCAGCCCTACAGAAAATCAGCACTTAAAAGTCTGTCTCGTTGATTTCTTGCGACCTTGACTCGTACTAGTCTTGTCAATGTTTCTTATTAGAGAAGTCTTCCACGATCGTTGCTGTTCGCGGTCTTTGTGGATATGTTAAAAACTTTGTTATTCATAGCTATTTGTAAAACATGACGAGAGTAATGACTGAGAATGCACAAAGTATGGACGTCTGACAAAACACACAAACATCATGATATCAGTGAATCAAGAGTAATGGTTAACTTGACTTTCTCTGGTCAGTATTTCAAAGTGCAGCGGCTGTTGTTTAGAGAAATCTCTCATCCTCTTTTCATGTATCAAAGACTTTTTTGTGTCAGTGTATTTGTTTGTTCACAGCTTCTCAAGCAACACTGCACCACACTTTATCTTCTTTATTTTTTTTTATTTTTTTTTTTACCAAACTTGGGGGGTAGATGCATTCTCCCTTTGTCACTTTACAAGCAATCACAGACAAGAAAACAGCAAAAAGTCAGCTGCATCCGCCCGCTTGCATCTTAAAAATGGCATGCAGAGGTGCTTCTTTGTTAGTCTTTCCATCAACATATCGAGACAGGGCCGCCTTTCCAAACATACTGACATATTTGTTCCTGATTGTCCCTCATTTGTGCAAGGCAAGACACTTCTCTATGTGGCGTTGTCTTGCAGTCCCATAGCTGCAGGTTTGGGGGTTGCGTGTCAGTGTGGCATCCAACCGATCCTTAGCCTCCTATACCCTCCATCCCCACCTCCTAGCCTTCGCCCTGCCATGAGCTCCGTCACCAAGCCCCTCATTAACCCCTCCCGTGCGGCCCGCGTTTGAAAGCGCGCTGTCTTCAAACCTGTCGCGGTCTCCTCGACAGACTTTTCAATATCGTCACAAAGTGGGCGGATGGGTGGTTACTCGTCTTTGCCTGCGTGCCCCCGCATCTGACGGTGTTATATTATATTTAGTAATAATAATCACAGTCATTGAGTCTTTTGGGTGGTGGGATGGCATGGCTTGTCTGTGCGCCCTCCTCACCTTCACACTGGGGGCATGTGGGTGCTGATCGGCCTGTATAAAGGCCTGGGAGGAGCAGAGGGTGGGGCCACGGAGCCATAGGGTGTTATTAGCTCCTTTTCTTCTTCTCTTCAGGAGGAAGTAGTTTGTTTGACGACCATGATCCCAATCTTTCTATACTTACACTATTCCAAACTGACTTACTCCTTAACTGTTGATTAACACGTCTTATTGTCTTCTTATAGAACAACCCCGTTACCTCTCAGCCTTCACTCGAGAAGTCAATATAAGGTACTTAAAGGTAAAACTTATTTAAAAAAAAAAATATATATATATATAAGGCAAGGCAAGGCAAGTTTATTTATATAGCATAATTCATACACAAGGCAATTCAAAGTGCTGAACAAAACAAGAAAGCATTAAAATCATAAATAATCACAGAACATTAAAAAGAAAGCTAAAAATATAAAATCCCTCAGTTGTATGCACAGCTAAACAGAACTGTGTTTAACCTGGTTTTAAACATTGTCAGAGAAGAGGCCTGTCTCATATATATATATATATATATACACACTCCATGTCAGGGGTTTACTACAGTTAGGCATGCACACGTATTAGTATTGTGAAAATAGAGTTTCATGTTATGTTTTTTGCCCCCTTAAAACCTCAAAATTACAATTCAATAAACTGAATGTTGTGTCTCCGATGTGACACAATACAGTATGCATTTCCCAGGTGCCTATAGACTCAAGACAACCACGGGCCTGCAGTGTGTGTGTGTGTGTGAGTGTGTTTGTGTGTGTGGAGCGCTCTGGAGGTAATGGAGCAGATGTCAGGGTCTGGCTGTGTTTACACAGGAGGATGACTGAGAGCTGTCTCATTGATTTCCAGTTATGCAGGATCATAGTCACACAAATGTGGGTACGGGCTATAGATCATATATCATATACATATACAGAAAAAAAATATTATCCTCATTTATCCAGAAGTGATCCAGTGAAAAGATCAATTCAAAAGGAAAAGGATCAGGACCATTGCCCACCTGGACGTCTTTCACTCATTGTAGTTATTATGTTTTCCTGTCCAAAAGGCATTGGAGAAATATTCAATAGAAAGAAAAATTTTACCTCAGCATCACATTGTGGTAATTCTGGAACAGAACTCAAATAAATATTATATATAAGATAAATATTTATCAAAAAAATGAGGAATGTGAGGACAGAGGTGAATGATGAGAAACAGTCTATGGTGAAACAACAAAAGCTGTGAAAGTGGAACGTGTTGTTAAAGCATGAAGCCTACACTGTACGTGGTGTTAGTTTAGTAATGACGGAGTAATGGGGCTGAGACTGCACAACCACAAATGTGTTGTCGACACATGAGACATTTTGACTTCAGCCTTCATGCAAAGTGGACCTTGAAAGTTTTATTATTATTTTATTTACAATAAATTATATATTTTTAAAGAAAAAAAACAGTCAAAGACCCATTTCAAATGATGATAAATCTGCACAGGAATAACAGTTGCATATTTCATATTAATATAATAATACCTTAAAAGTAAATTGTCATGTTATCAACACAGAGGCCTATATTTATACCTGCTAAGAAATGGAATGTGACCAAAAAGGCATTGGTCAGTCCATGGTCAGTCCATGGTTCATGGTGATTAACATACAGTAAGTAGTGTGTAAATGTGTGAAGAGTTCATTCTGCGGCTTTCTTTCCCTGATTTCACATGTTTTTGCTCTGTTCAGTTTTGTCGTGTTTCCCCCATTAACACAGACTTCTTGACCTGATGGTAATAAAAGAACCACAGAACCTCTGCACAGCACTGGGACCCTGATGTCTCAGACATATATACAGTATATGCTCAGACTTTGTGTTTGTACTTTTGCAATAATCAGAAAAAGAACATTTAGCCTATTGCTGATTTTAGCTCTTTTGGCTTCCTTTCACAAAAAGTCACTTAAAGATACATTTATTTTGGTCAAATCTGCCTCCTCTTCATCCTGTTTTTCAAATTCACAAAGAATCCAGAACTGTTTTAAGATCAGCACTTTCTGCCTTTTAAACACAGTGCGCCATCTTCTGGAGACTGTGTAAATTACATTTCTAATCAAGGCAATGATTATAATAAAATGTATTAAAATAATTCAATAATCGTGTTAATATGATGTTATTATCAATAGTAACAATTAATTTTCTTCTGCTTAATTAACTGCCTTTCTTGTTATTCATAGGTCAATTATTTCCAAGAAGAATGTGACAACTGAATGGCCAGAAGAATGCACATCTTATGTGAGTTTCCAGAGAATTTGGAGTAACTTCAGTGATTCATAACATTTGAATTTACGTTTGAACAAACAAGGACAAATAATTATTTGTCCATGTAGTGTATTTGCAAATCAAAATGTGATAGTAACATTTGTTTAAACATAACTAAATAAATAAAACAAAAGGAGTAATAGAAAGATATTATCACCAAATGGAATACAGCACAGCTATATTATTATTCCACTTTAGGCTTGTTAAGAGTAGGCACATGTGAGGTGTGAGAGTGGCTCAGGACAATTTAAGCAGAGGATCCATTTATTATACGTTTAGCCTTTGATATGGTGATAGTTAAAAGTGTGCACCTTGGAATTCAATACAAGTGTAATAAGTTCATATTATAACTTGATTAAATTCATATGTTTGCATAAAGAGCTAAAGGACTGAGACCATGCATAACTCTGCACTGGAGTCGCTGAGAAAGATAGAGATATTCACCTTCGAAGGGTCACTCTCCTCTTCCTGCCTCATTAAAAACAGCCCTATTAGCAGCGCTCCTTCAGAGCCGCCGACAGATGTGTGTGTGTCTGTGTGTGTGTGTATATGTGTGGGGGTGTGTGTGTGTATTTTGGAGGCCTCTAGGCTGCCCAAGAATACATTAAACAGCCAAAGAAGCCCCCTCTCTTCTTCCTGACTGACTCCTGCTGGGACTACTTAGCATTTCTGGGGTGAAAACTTCTCCAGCAAGGTTGTCAAACACTATACGCAAATTACAGCGCTGCTAAATTGCCCCTGTATATAGTTGTTTAACTTTTGTAGCCGCTAAAGTGTGTGTGTGTGTGTGTGTGTGTGTGTGTATGAAGACTCAATTCCCCCGATGCATTATACAGGCAATGTCGCCGGGAGGGAGAGGAGTGATTTGTTAAAAAAAAAAATGTGAGAAAGAGACATACAAAGATACAAATCCCACAAGAGTCCAAAACAACTTTGACAATCGTTAGCTTATGAAAATGCGAGCAGTTTTTAATGTGTTTTTGGGTCACAGATGGTAGGAGGAAACACAAAAGTCTGTTTTCACACCCATTGTATGACGATCCAGGGAGAATTAAGCGAAAAGACCAAGTGAATGTGGATAAATGTGCTAATGGCAGTGGGTTTGCTGTGTGGTTTTTCCTGGTTGGACTTAATGAGTGAGGCAGAAGAATTATATTTCACAACTTCTTATTATGAGGATTTGAACACTCATTTAGTCATTTAGACCTATGTATTCAACAAGTGGACATAGTAGATACTGTCCTCCATGGCAAAAATTACGATTCATAATAGTATCAATAAAAACAACACTTTGCATATTGCCTCTACTCACTTTTATAGTTTTGAATACAGCCTTAATGATATACTATATAAATACAGCCAGGACAAAACATATTTCCTAATTCTGTTAACCAATTCAATGAAAAAATATATTTAAAACAAAGTAAACTATTGCTCAATATACATACATTCAACGAAGCGTTTTTTGTTTTTTTTTCAGACGCTATGAGATTATAGTCATGGAAGATTAAGATTAAGGGATCCTTTATTTGTCCCACAGTGGGGAAATTTCAGTGTTGCCTCATTGGTTACAGAACAGTAAGAATGAGGAGCACAACACAAGATAAATAAACGATAACGCTATAAAAAAAATAAAACAAAAATAAAATCTCTAACTTTAGCATACAAAAGAAGATAGATAGAATTCAACTGCATGTGCACCTTTGGGAGGACACTGCAGTTTTAGTGAGACTTTATAATAGATAATATCCTCTGAAAAACACAGAAAGGTAAATGTAAAGGTGCACTTTATTAATCCCCGTAGAGCAATTCAATCCTCTGCATTTGACCCATCCTGATGCCGCGACATGTTATTGTCCTGTAATATTTTGTGAACAATTCAGACCACAATATGCTGTCTTCATCTTATTTAAAAAATAAAACAAAATAAAAATGTTGATGTGACAGACGACAAAAAACTAGTGATAGAACCAAACAGTTTTGAGAGCGAGGAAGTATGGATTTTATTATACAGTTAATTTTTTGGTGATTTCAAAGTTCAGTACTTCCAGTTTTCACCTCAAACGTGTTCACACAGGAACCAGGATTTCAACCACTGAACTCATCAGCGTTGCCACCAGGAAGACTCTCATCGAAAATTAGGGGAGAATTGAAGTGTGCTGGCTAATAGCATTGGCACGGACATTTTGCCAATACGATTTAGGTCTGACCGGTGCAGTGGCCTGAGGTGCAGCTGCAGACTGACACTTCTCCCCTCAGTGTGTCCAGAGCGGAGATTGGCCTGTCCTTCAGCGGGACAACACCCAGACCACTTACCCCCCCTGTCCCACTGTGATCTACGCTGTGTTCTTCCGTGGGCGGCACGGTGGCTGAGTGGATAGCACTCTCGCCTCTCAGCAAGAAGGTCCTGGGTTCGAATCCTGGTTGGACCAGGGCCTTTCTGAGTGGAGTTTGCATGTTCTCCCCGTGTCTGTGTAGGTTTCCTCCGGGTA